TATATAGCCATACAAGCCTTTCTCAAGAAACAAGAAAGGTTTCAAATACACAAACTAACCCTACACTGAAAGGAGCTGGAGAAAGAACAGCAAAGAAAGCCAAAACCCAGCATGAGAAGAGAAATAATAAAGATCAGAGCAGAAATCAATGAAATAGAAACCAAAATAACAGTAGAACAGATCGATGAAACTAGGAGCCGGTTCTTTGAAAGAATTAATAAAATGATAAACACTTGGCCACACTTATCAAAAAGAAAAGAGAAAGGACCCAAATAAAGAAAACCAGGAGTGAAAGAGGATATATCACAACCAATACCCAAGAAATACAAACAATTATAAGAACATATTATAAGGAAGTATATGCCAGCAAATTTGACAATCTGGAAGAAATGGATGCATTCCTAGAGACATATAAACTATCAAAACTGAACCAGAAAGACACAGAAAACCTGAACAGACCCATAAACCAGTATGGAGATTGAAGCAGTCAACAAAAATCTCTCAACAAACAAGAGCCCAGGGCCAGACGGCTTCCCAGGGGAATTTTACCAAACATTTAAAGAAGAATTAATACCTATTCTCCTGAAACTGTTACAAAAAATAGAAATGGAAGGAAAACTTCCAAACTCAAGTCATTAGGCCAGCGTTACCTTGATCCCAAAACCAGATGAAGACCCCATCAAAAAGAAGAATTACAGACCAATATCCTTGATGGACACAGATGCGAAAATTCTTACCAAAATACTAGCCAATAGGATCCAACAGTACATTAAAAGGATTATTCACCACGACCAAGTGGGATTTATTCCTGGGCAGCAAGGTTGGTTCAACAACCACAAATCAATCAATGTGATACAATGCATTAATAAAAGAAAGAACAAGAACCATATGACACTCTCAGTAGATGCTGAAAAAGCATTTGAAAAAGTACAGCATCCTTTCCTGATCAAAACTCTTCAAAGGGTAGGCATAGAGAGTGCATACCTCAATATCCTCAAAGTCACCTATGAAAAACCAACAGCAAATATCATTCTCAATGGAGAAAAACTGAGAGCTTTTCCCCTAAGGCCAGGAAAATGGCAGGGATGCCCACTATCACCACTGCTATTCAACATAGTACTGGAAGTCCTAGCCTCAGCAATCAGACAACAAAAAAATTAAAGGAATCCGAATTGGCAAAGAAGTCAAACTCTCACTCTTTGCAGATGATATGATACTTTATGTGGAAAACCCAAAAGACTCCACTCCAAAGCTGCTAGAACTCATACAGGAATTCAGTAAAGTGTCAGGATATAAAATCAGTGCCCAGAAATCAGTTGCATTTCTATACAACAGCAAGACAGAAGAAAGAGAAATTAAGGAGTCAATCCCATTTATAATTGCCCCCCAAAACCATAAGATACCTAGGAATAAACCTAACCAAAGAGGCAAAGAATCTGTACTCAAAAAACTATATAGTACTCATGAAAGAAATTAAGAAAGACATAAAGAAATGGAAAAACGTTCCATGCTCATGGATTGGAAGAACAAATATGTGAAAATGTCTATGCTACCTAAAGCAATCTACACATTTAATGCAATCCCTATCAAACTATGATCAATTTTTTTCAAAGAAATGGAACAAAGAATCCTAAAATTTATATGGAACCAGAAAAGACCCCAAATAGCCAGAGGAATGTTGAAAAAGAAAGCCAAAGTTGGTGGCATCACCATCCCAGACTTCAAGCTCTATTACAAAGCTGTCATCATCAAGACAGCATGGTACTGGCACAAAACAGACACACAGATCAATGGAACAGAATAGAGAGCCCAGAAATAGATCTTCAACTCTATGGTCAACGAACCTTCAACAAAGAGGAAAGAATGTCCAATGGAAAAAAGACAGTCTCTTCAACAAATGGTGTTGGAAAAATTGGACAGCCACATGCAGAAGAATGAAACTGGACCATTTCCTTACACCCCACCCAGAAATAGACTGAAAATGGATGAATGACCTCAGTGTGAGAAAGGAATGCATCAAAATTCTTGAGGAGGACAAAGGCAGCAACCTCTTCAACCTCAGCTACAGAAACTTCTTCCTATAAACATCACAAAAGGTAAGGGAAGCAAGGGCAAAAATGAGCTATTGGGACTTAAACAAGATCAAAAGCCTTTGCACAGCAAAGGAAACAGTCAACAAAATCCAAAGATAACTGACAGAATGGGAGATGATATTCGCAAATGACATATCAGATAAAGGCATGTTATCCAAAATCTATAAAGAAGTTATCAAACTCAACACCCAAAGAACAAATAATACAATCCAGAAATGGGGAGAGGACATGAACAGACATTTCTGCAAAGAACACATCCAGATGGCCAACAGACAAATGAAAAAGTGCTGCACATCACTCGGCATCAGGGAAATACAAATCAAAACCACAATGAGATACCACCTCACACAGTCAGAATGGCTAAAATTAACAAGTCAGGAAATGACTGACATTGGAGAGGATGTGGAGAAAGGGGAACGCTCCTACTCTCTTGGTGGGAATGCAAGCTGGTGCAGCCACTCTGGAAAATAGTATGAAGGTTCTTCAAAAAGTTGAAAATAGAGCTACCCAATGACTTAGCAATCACACTACTGGGTATTTACCCTAACGATACAAATGTAGTGATCCGAAGGGGCACGTGCACCTGAATGTTTATAGCAGAAATGTCCACAATGGCCAAACTATGGAAAGAACCTAGATGTCCATCAACAAATGAATGGATAAAGAAGATGTATATACAATGGAATACTATGCAGCCATCAAAAGAAATGAAATATTGCCATTTGCAATGACGTGAGTGGAACTAGACAGTATTATTTGATCAATTATTATATGATCTCCCTGATATGAGGAACTTGAGAGGCACAATGCAGGGCTTGGGGGATAGGGAAGGGAAAAATGAAACAAGATGGGATTGGGAGATAAACCATAAGAGATTCTTAATCTTACAAACCAAACAGAGGGTTGGTGGGGGTGGGGTGTGGAGAGGGTGGTTGGGTTATGGACATTGGGGAGGATATATGATACGGTGAGTGCTCTGAAGTGTGTAAGCCTGACGATTCACAAACCTGTACCCCTGGGGCAAATAGTACATTATATGTTAATTAAAATAATAATAAAAAAAAGATTGCAAACCCAGGGGCACCTGGGTGGCTCAGTGGATTGAACCTCTGCCTTCAGCTCAGGCCATCATCTCAGTGTCCTGGGATCAAGCCCCGCATCAGGCTCTCTGCTTGGTGGTGAGCCTGCTTCCCCGCCTCTCTCTCTGCCTGCCTCTCTGCCCACCTCTGATCTCTTTCTCTCTGTCAAATAGATAGATTAAATCTTTAAAAAAAAAAAAAAAAGAATGCAAACCCAGATTTCCATACTTTATAGGTACTGATTTTACCCAAGGAGATGAACAGTTGTAAATAATCATATCCTTGTCAATGCTTTAAAAGAAGCCCACTTTAGACTTCAGTCTTCAGGCTAATGAGTATTAACTTCTGTCCTACTACACCGGTGGATGCATGCTTTGTTATTTAACAATTAGTTTAGTAGGCTTTGTAAAAGACAAATAAGGTAGCAAAATGGTTTCATTTCACCCCTGGAATCAGAGCTCTCTGGGAGTTTTAAGATCCAAACAGTGAAAACAAACAGCAGGATCTAATAAAAACTAATTCTTAATTTGCTGTATTTTAGCACCTCTTTGCCACACATAGAGCCTCAGCCATGTAACTGGTGGTAGAGAAATGGACACCAGAGACTGGATATTAAATCAACCAACCATCACCTCAATGAGCTCTTCTGCCCTTCTGCAGAAATTCCAATGCAACTCAGAGAAACTCATTTCTCACTCAACTCAGTTGTCAGCCTGTTTAATAATTCAGAATGCAAACAGCCCTAGTACTAAAGGATAGGATGTTTCAGGGGATGGCTATATCAGTATGTAAAGGAAGAACTTCTAAATCTGTAAGAAAGGGCAAAATCTGAGGAGCTCACAAGGGACACGTGACTCTGAGTGAAAAGCAGAACAAATACCATTTTTCTTATAGTTAAACTGCCCTGTTAATTTCCATATCGGAATAATTTTTTATTAATGCTAAGATTCCTTTCTCTGGTGTTCAGAACTCCAGAAGCAGCCACATTATTTCCTAAATTATTAGTGATTGGAGAAACTTTCAAAACACAGAACCTACAAAGTATGTATCCCCTTTTTTCATTATGATACATTATTTACCCTGCACAGACCTTTTCCTCCTCATCTTTAAATGGGGATAATAATTATTCTCTTTGGGGATATTGCAAAGCTTAAATGATTGAGCGCCCATAAACATTTAAAACAAGATGCTGACCCACATGAGGTGTGGGAACAAAGGCCAATAGAACTGACATTTAAAAAAAAAAAAACGGGTCGAACTCTACAGGAAACCAGCCAGAAATATTTTTTCCTCCAACCACTTCCTTCAGACACGCAGAGCTGGATATCTTTTCTGGTCTGGGACAACACTTTCAGTGATTCCTTCCGCCTTCTAGTCCCTTCATTTATGAGAAAAAAGTCACACTTTGGAAGTTGAAAGTGGCTTTCAGATGTTACAAAGCCTAGTGTACACCAACACTGCGATTTCATACCCAACTCAGTCTATCATCACATCAATTTACAGATGACCCACGTTCAGAGACATCTGTGGGGAAGACGGGCTTTCACTCTTCCTTATTTCACTTCCCCTTCCCTCCTCCCCTTATTTTGCTCCTTTTCTCCCTCTCTGAGGCTGTGTGGTCTCCTTTCTCTCCCACTGTAGTAGCTCTGAGGGGCAGACATGGGGTGGGAAATAGGACAGAGCACTTTATCATCTAATCTTTTGTTCCTTCAGTATGGCAGATGCCTACACACTCCCTGGCTTGGGGACCATGTTCACGGCTCTTCCATAGGCCCTGCAGTGACCTTCTTACCCTACTTTGTCCTCAAGCAAGCAAAACAATACCCACCTGACCTCTTGTGGCGCTCCACCTTTCGTCTCCAGCTACTGGCAGGTATCCTCTAACTTCATGCTGCTGGGGGCTTCTCACCTAGGCAGGCTATCCCCCTGGGCATGGGCCCACCAAAATATCTTGAGCCCAGTGACTTTTTAAGGTGCTCAATTAGCCCAGAGAAAACTCATCTATTCTTGTCAGACTGAGAGTTGAAGTCTCCACCTGCTGGTTACTGGCCCCCTCCTTGGGCCGCCTATCACAGACCACTCCAGTCCGTTTCTCAATTTTACAATTCTCCAGGCAGCCGTCAAGAGACTCCATAGGAGTTTCTTTATTCGTGTATACTCTAAAACTCGGAATGCATGTTAAGCACTTCTGAGAACTCTCCATCCTCGCCTTCCTCCTGTGTCAGAATCCGATGAGGAGGCTGGTCTCTGCCAATCAGCACAATTCCAGTTACTGTGAGAGAACATTCTCCCATCTTGCAGCTGCCGCCTTCAAATCCCTGAGGGAATCTCTTGGAGCCATCCTCACCTAACTTGAAAGTAAAGGAGACTGAGAAAAACAAGCAATATTTATTCTAAGCCGATTAAGCCTCATTCTTATGCATTTCTTTCTTCATTTTCTATCTTCTGATGATACAGGTTGCATACTGAGAGGAGAATTCAAAGGACCTTTCTGGAGGAGGTTTCTTGACCACAGCGTCATTAACATTGTAGAGAAGATCCTTTCTTGTTTGAGGAGGCAGGGCTGGGCCTCATAGGATCTTTAATGGTGTCCCGGCCCTCTACTCACTAGATGCCAGAACATTCCCTTCCTTTTGAGGTATGACAACCAAATGTGTCTCTAGACGTTGCCAGAGAGCCTGTGGGGGCAGAATCACTCTCAGCAGAGAATTCACCATGGTTAGCTACAGAAGGTGTTCTGTATAGAACTTGTCTAAAAAAGACGATGCATAGTCTTCACCTCATTTCTCTCCGAATTTCATAAGATACATGCAAGTGGGATGATCTCTCAGTTATGTTTTCAGGAAAAGAGCATATTACCAACTCAGATTCTCAGACTAGCACCCTGACTACCCAACAATAAAACAATAAAATTTAAATTACCTCTGATGAGTTTGCCTAAGCAGAATCAACCTAAAGAAAGAAAAAATTTTATCTTCACCAGGCCCTTAAAATGACAGAAATTTTAAAAATAAATACTAATTAGAAATTTAAGAAGCTTCTCTTTTAAATAATACAGCAATTGGACAGCACTTGTTAAAATAATCAGGTTCCAAAGATAGTTTAAAAATATAACTCAAGTGGCCATATGACTGCTCAGCTTAAAAGAAAAACTGTTTAACGGTACTAGAACTTGAACTACTTCTTCTTCCTCCCATTGCTCCCTTTATTTGATTGTATTCTCTCAAATTTTAGATCAGGTAGGTTAAACTGAGAAAACCTTTGTTCATTGGAAAGAACCTATTATCTCATTATCCCCTCACTCCTCTGCCAACCATTCTGCAACTCTCTAGTTGGTTCTTTCATTTTCTCTCTCTCTCTCTCTCTCTCTCTCTTGCTTCTGTTGAGATGTATAAGAACATTCTTAGGAGACTTGCAGCCCTAAGTTCCTTTCTCAAGGATACCCAAGGTAACCATGAGGTTACTCTATAAACTCAGGCAAGTCCTTCTCTAAGATATCATCTCTCTAAAGTAGGGGGAACATTTTCCTTACATGGTTGTTATGTCAATTAAATGAGTTAATTAAAGGGGCACATAACAACAAGCACAGAATTCATCTGAGTCTTTCCCAGTCTTTTCTCCTGCTGCTAAGCGACTTAGTAATAGGAGATATGAAAAGCATGATACACCTGCTGTGTATTTACCGTTATATGTTAAAACAGTGAAGGTAAAAAAAAATACAGTTTTTGATGCATTGCAATTTAAACAATGTCAAATCAATAAAACAATAAAAATGCATAAATATGAATAGAGAAGAAATGTAAGGATACAGTTATTAAGAGTGATTATTTTAGACAGTGGAAAATATGAATAGATATTTATCCTTTTCACTGTTCTCGGTTTTCTCTGTATGATTAATATTTAATTTCCTAATGAAAAGCATAAATAAACTTCATGGGAAAAGAAGAGAAACTTTTTAGAGTAAAATAAATTTCAATGTTCTCATTAATGAAAGAAAAGTTTACTGGGCTAACTAGTAACTCAGAGAAATAATCTGCACACCAAGTAAGATAATGTTCTTTCATATTCCTCCCCGAACTGTTTTCCTGCCTGTATGATGAGTGAATTGAACACCAATGGGTCTCATCTACTCTCAGACTCTTGTCAACAGCAGTGATTCTGGGCTTTATTTTTTATTAAAAAAATATGGTATTTTTTTCAAGTGATTCTAGCCATTATCATGATAATAGCATTAATCTAATCAGCTTTTTAATAAAGCAATTATACTTATGCAGATTAATACTAAATAGTATGATAATTACTGTGGCTTAGGCATGTCTTTTTTTCTAGCACAGAATAAATATCAATAGTTAGGAATATCTATTCACAACATTTCAGCTCAGTTTTGTCTTTTATCTGATGACTTACGAGTTACACAAAGTGTTGACATAGCGCTGCAGTGTGAGTCTAATCCAGGCCCCATGTCACCATTTTAATTCAGAACCACCTAGACCCCAGGTAAACTCTTGCCTCTTTGCCCTGCCACCCCCAGCTGTGACCTTCAAAGGGAAAAATGACTTCAATCAAGAATTGTCTTACTCTACTGCAAATAGTCCCACATTTATTTTCCTATAATACTGTGTTCTCCTTGAAGACAAAGGCAAGTTCTGATCTTCTCTGTATTGCTAAATCAGTTTGCTAAAACATAGGACATGTTCAACCATAAATACGTGATGAATTAATGAATGAATATTTGAAATGGAAGGAATCTTAAAGATCAGATAGCCCTAATGTCTACTGACTTTCTTTTTTTTTTTTTTAAGATTTTATTTATTTATTTGACAGACAGAGATCACAAGTAGGCAGAGAGGCAGGCAGAGAGAGGAGGAAGCAGGCTCCCCGCTGAGCAGAGAGCCCGATGCAGGGCTCGATCCCAGGACCCTGAGATCATGACCCGAGCCGAAGGCAGAGGCTTAACCCACTGAGCCACCCAGGCACCCCTGTCAACTGACTTTCAGAACACTTTCCATAGCACAAACAACAAACAGTCTGTCAGACCTTCTTTGGCTCTCATTATCCTGTGACCAGACGCTTGGGACTATAATCCACCTGATTTCAGAATCCAGGTCCATCCTAAACCCGGCTTTAACTGAAATGTGTGATTTGTGGATTATTCTTCATGGGGGCTTCTTTTATTTGCCTGCCTTCTGATTTTCTAAACATGTCACACTATTGTAGCTCTCTCTAAAGCTTCTTCCAGATCATAATTCTAAAGAGCACCATTCTGAACATATCTCATCCCTATTTATATTGGTTTCAACTGTCCACAAGGCAATATTGAAATTATTTGATCTGCAAATCAGGAACCAGCTGCCAGTTCCCATCTCCATGCCTTGCCACTTATTAATTTATTCTTATAATCGTTATGTACTTATCATACATCTACTCTGTTCTTCATACTATGCTAGATCCTGGGATGTAAGAAATAATTTGACCTGCCTAGAGCATAAAGCTCAATGGACAACATGTAACAATATTTTAGAATAGTGTTCTTCCTGGTTTCGCTTTCAACTGAGAAACAAAATACATATGAATTTACCAACATAAATATAAAACAGTTATTCCCCCACATGCAGAATTTATAAAGAGGCTGAAGAACCACTCAGTACCTCACAGATCAAGGATGTTTTAAAAAATAAGACTTCCACTTCTGGCCATAATAAAGTCCACCATAAACAACACAAGAATGGAAAACACTATATGAGGACTGTTCTTAGATATTGGATAACAGGTAGCACAGGACTTTGATCCCCAAAGAAGGCAATCAGATAAAGTGAGCCCTATGGGCACATCAGCATTATGCTTTCTTTTAGGCACTTTCCAGACTGCATTGCAGGGAAAGAGATTGCGACCAGAGAGAGAACCGTGGCCTGAGTTAAGGAACAGAGATCAAAGTGTGGGGTAGCTGAGGTGGTTAGAATTTGCAGGGTAAAGTACCAGAAAGGACTCCAGATATCTACATAGGGATCCTCCTGAGTCTTTGGTTGAATATTATCTGTGCTTATATAAGGTAAATCTCTATAAGGCAGAAAAAGAACAACCATCAGAGAGACTGGAGCTGAACAATTCCCAAAGTTCACATAGGCCTGGGAGAGAGGAGCACTGTGAATAGCCACAGGAGAGAGAACTTGTTGTTCAACAGAAACTCCAGAAGGGTCATGTATTAATAATGGACTAAACAGCCCTAGAATACTCTGGAAACATCAGAAGGAAACTTAAAAAAAAAAAAAAAAAGCTTCAAAATGATCAAGCAGAGCCTTAAATTACTTAGCTGTCAGAAAAACAAATTTCAACACTCTTTAAAAGAAGACAACAAGGGCGCCTGGGTGGCTCAGTGGGTTGAGCCCCTGCCTTCGGCTCAGGTTGTAATCTCAGGGTCCTGGGATCAAGACCCACATTGGGCTCTCTGCTCTACAGGGAGCCTGCTTCCCCCTCTCTCTCTGCCTGCCTCTCTGCCTACTTGTGAACTCTCTCTCTCAATAAATAGATAAATAATCTTAAAAAAAAAAAAAAAGACAACAAGGTGAGAAAATCAACAATGTGAGATTCACAATGTACAGCATCCATAAACAAGTAACATTGCTTCTATCAATGAAGAAGTAACTACTACAGAAATGTCCTCCTACAGGAAACAATTAGAAATTATGATAAATATATGATTTCCAGGTAAAATATGGGATGCTAGGCTAAATTAGAATTTCAGACAAATAATGTCAGTGAAAGTATGTCCCATGCAACATTTGAGACATATTGATACTTAGAAAGTATCTGCTCTTTACTTAAATTCAGGCAAATAAAAATTTAAATTTTTAAATTACAGGTACCTGTATTTTTATTAGCCCAGTAACAGTCCCAGCTTCAGATTAGAGGCAATTCTGGACATGGCTCAGGGTAAGGGAACCCAAACAGATCCCAGAAAACTGGAACCAAAGTGAGCATTCAAATAAAAATTGGAATTTAGGGAGGCAAAGATGGCTAAACTTTATAAATCAGAGTGCCACAGAGAAGGAGTTATGTAGAAACAGATGTCTACAAATTCAATATCCATTGAGTCCTTGGCTGTGATTGCTTAGGATACAATTTCATGAGGCAGGGAAAACAACAACTTCCAGAAAAAAGAGGGGGGAGGATCAAGGCATATAAATCAAGGCCACATAACTCCCAGAGCTCACATAGGACTAGAGTCTCCCTACACATCAGAATGAGAAGATTCCATTAAGTATTCAGGACTTTTAGTAAAGACTCCAGAAGGGGGTGCCTGGGTGGCTACGTGGGTTAAGCATCTGCCTTCCACTCAGGTCATGATCTCAGG